ATCTTTGGTGTTCACCAACCCCTCGGTTACCCACATGCAAAGTCCCTCCCTGCATAAATGCGTAAAAGAAAATCCAACTTCAGCCCTGTGACTAGATAAGGGTTTTAAGGACACGTAAAGCTGTTAACGAGGTCGTGGATAAGTCGTCTTCCGGGTAGCTCAGACACCGCGCTGATAATTATGTTGATTATAAGCTCGTCAACCCCTCGGAGGCGGTCCCGTTGGAACGAATCAAAGGAGCGTCACGACTCACTTTGTCGTTTTAAACTAGCGATTTATTTAAAAATGGTAAGTTGTTTTGTACGGTTTGGAAGTTCATATAGGATTTGAAAAGCTTGTGTTATCGAGAGGAAAAGCAATATCTTGAAATTTGGTATCATTGAAGGCTACTTAAAGCATAGGGGATACTTGCGTGAGAATTTACTTTCTACAGTTGTACTGTAACATTTGATCCTAACAGGAGTATTGTAACCAAATTAGAGGACATTTACTTTGCAAATTTTCGTAGCATTATTGCAAAAATTCTGGTTATATCACTTCATTTATAAATACAACTTGAATTTAGAAAAATAGAATGCTGAAGTATCACGAAAGTTCTAGACACTACTATCAACAATCTAACTTAAGTATTTCTCCTTGGTGCATTTCTATTATATCAAATTGTACTAAATACAATCCTTTTGTATATTCTATCGATACATATCACAAATTCATATTACAACAGTATTTTGCAAAGAAAGTTTGCATTGACACCTGAACTGTTCAACAACGTCTTCATCAATAGCCTATCGCAGGCGCTTTCCAAACCTCCTGAACAAAGGGTCCAAATTACCCACTCATACTTTCCGTACAGTACGATCTCGCTGTTCTTCTTAAAATGTCAAGTTTACCTCGCGCCAAGGCTCATATTGTCCAGAAAATGTCTTTGGAGATCCTTGACGGAGAGAGTGAGAGAGAAGGACCCCTTCCCAGTGACTCAGTGACTCCGGACAAAAGTCAGGATCATCAATACCGGGAACATCTATAAACGTGTCCTATTCGCGTTGGGGGGGAACAACGACGGACGGTTCGATTTTTACTGGCGATAATACCAGCGTGGGTCTCGACGATCCGAACGTAATTATTTTCCGAGAGAGGATCCTACGGTGTGTGTATTCGGCGTCTTTTTTACGACGGACACCACGATCGGTCTCCTGGCGAGAAGAGGCCAGAGAGAGCTTCGGCCACAGAAACGGGCAGCTCCGCTCTGAGGTCGTGGGTATACGATATCTGATGCAGAAAACCGGTAAAGGCCGAAGGCCGATGGTACCAGAGGTGGGATGAAGGGACGGTGAACGAGGGAGAAGGACCAAAAGCAAAGACACGATTGTGGGGCCACGGCACATTGTCTTCGGGTGACTTAAAAATCCAACTCGTGCCTCGTTAACCATCCTATCTGATACAAGCAGCGTAGACCCTCGAAGGGAGGTACACGACCCGCGGGACTTTCGATCCTCCTCCCTTCGCCACGATTCCTTTTCCTTCCTTCTTTCCCCCTTTTTTTGGTCGATCCTCCACCTTCGCCAACTCGCCCACGTGACCTTGCGGCTCCTGAAAGTGAACTCTGCCGGGGGAGTACTTGGTAGCGGAACATCGAATTGCCACGGTGTTTGTGGACATTGGGCTCTTCTCAAGCATCGTTTTGCTACCCCTCCGAACTACAGACCGTTTAAAATGTTTTCGAGACTGTTTGGGTGGACTGTTTACTGTGACGGATAGGGTCGAGTATGCGATTCGCAATGGTCGTATTTAACCCCAGATCGACACCGAATTCCCTGGAAAAGGGAGCATTGCTTCTAAAATATGACACTGTAGCTTTATAACCGATATGTTGGTGGAATAGTGTATGAACAGTAAATAATTTTTACAAAAGTTCGAACAATTATGAGTTTATCATTCCCATTTATTAAAAAAAATATTTGTAACATTTTAAAATTATAACGCTGTAATATTTTACGTCACAAATTTTTAGAAAATAATCCATCATTTTCTTTATGACAACCCCAAAGCTTATAAAATTCTTTTTTCTCTATTATTTAAAAACTATAGCATAAACTAGGAGGGTAAACAAAAGCTTAACGTTTTAATGTTTATTTTCATTTCTGTTGAGAAAATTAAAGTTCCATGGAGGCGTCGACGACCCCACAGTATCGTTCTAGATTTCAACTGATTGATATTAGAAATAGGAGTTACTGTTTGTAGATACTTGGCGGTATTGAAGAATGTTTCTTGGTTAAAGTATTCTATCGAAAATTTCCAATTTAATTCATTCCACATTGATCACGGAAAATCTCATTTGTGAATTAATGATTTGCTGATATTACACTTACTATTAGGTTTACGAGGGAACAGAACAATTTATGAAAAGAATATTGAAATATAACATGCTCGAAGGTGGTTACGATGCCGAAAGTTTCAAGAATATCAAGAATATAAAATACAGATCATTTTAATGTACGTCTGTCTTCTTGTACTGCACAGCACATTGATTAATGGACTGGGGATTTTGTGCACTTATATGTGAAATACAGTAAGCATAAAAATTCGACTGTGTTTGATCAATTTTTCATTTTATTTCTATCCTGCTAAAATGCTTAAGAGAAGAATGGGTTTTATGTTATTACTTCAGTCTTTATAAATTACATTATAAAATGATATTTTGCATAAAATTCCGAAATCTATTGATTAATTTCCAAGATTAACGACAATCGTATTTCAATATTTGGTTATACGATTTTCAATAAATCCAAAGGATTAGGGATTTTAATACCATCATTTACTTTCGAAGACTTTCCGATATTTTTAATACATATATACTTGATAAAAAGAGTATTGCAGAAACTTACAATCTCTTTAAAAACATACCAGGCAATTCATTTTACAATATTTTTTAGATGCTCACACTGATTCAGGCATTGTTGAAGCACGCGCAAGAAAATAACAAGCTCGCTGAATCGACCAAGCAAGACCGAGCTTCTCAAATCAAGAGACTGTTTCTGCCCCTTGGTTGCTTATCCTTTCTAGCTCGGTATATGTATATCGGTATATAAAGTGTTGCAAGGAGGAACAAGGTCTTTCTGCTGTTTCGTTTTGGTTCACACGATTTGTATACCCTACCTGAGCAGCCGATTACTTTCAAGACCACGGACAACCGGTCACAGTGTCCCGCGATAGATAGATATCCGAACGTTGCTCGAGAGATACCTACAATTTTTCTATACGGTATCTGATACAGATTAGGGGCGATCTATTTCGTCTGTTTTCTATGTCAGTCGCAACATTTTAACCTACCTCCCTACTTTCCATTTTTCTTCCGTTATCTGATCAAGAGTATACTTTGCTCGCTTGTACGTTGCCCCGATGATTGCGATACTGGACAGTGGATTAATTACTCTCCCATTGGGCGTTGTCGTTTTATTCTTTAAATGACGGAGCTCTGTCATGACGTGAGTCATTGTACATACATTTATAGATAAGTATACCGTATATCCGATCATTTACCTCTATCCTTAACATATTCTTTTACTATATTCACTGATTAGCAATTGCTGTCTGTGCTGAAGTTACCATGATCAATACAGTAATTTGCACATTTTTACACGTAAATTCAAGATAATGATAAACTTTCTCTCTTAGGTTATTATTTCGTGTCTTTAAATCTGGTAAGAAAAATAAGATCGCGTAAAGTTTTAAGTCGTTATAGACCAAGGTGTTTTGTTCCCTTTTGTACGAATAAAGATTGCGAAAGACAATTCGATTGATATACGAATTGAGCGATTGCTCTTGATTTATTATAGATAAATGTCCAATCCAGTAGACTTCATGAATAAATAGTATTCTGCAATTTTCTTATGTTTTTCATTATATTTATGTTCCTTTAATTAGATTCTTTCTTCAATTTCTATTGAATACTTTAATAAGTTTTGTTGCTTATAAGGTACGATGCAATTCTTTATCCGGATTTTCTTGGTTTCTTTTTTCGTGATATCGACCATACGTATTTTATCACAGTGAATGTCAGGTGGGAACATTTAGTTAGATTTGTAGCAGGAATACACGCCAAGTTACTCACAACGAGGATTCACCGTGAGTCAGCTCTGGGCACGAAATCGACCACCAATTTATGGCTTTAACCCCTCTTCATCATGATGTCATACTTTTTGTAGTAGCCAACATAAAATCTAAGTATACACGATTTGAAAAATATAAAGAAACGATTACAATGAGAAAGTGTATATAAATTTAAACAAATCACAGTGAAACTGAATGGTGATTTAAATAATATTATCATACAATTAAATTAAGGTAATAATTGTACATAAGAAGTACAGTACATAAAAAAGTATTCGCATATTTTGGTTGCTCATAGTAAATGTATTAAACAAAAAAACACAGAGTACCTACACAATGATTGAGGATACTTTGTTCGAAGACATAGGTTCGATAAAAATATTAAAAAATTTGTATAGACAGCCTATGATATCACTTTTAAAAAGTGGGTGTGTACATATATGTATATATATATGTACATAAGTAAATAATGCGATCAAAGTATCTGTACAATACAGTATCTTTTACAATAGAAAAGATATTCATATTAAATTCGTGAAATTTAACGATTAAAACGTTAATTTAGTATATAAAAATTCTTAATTATAAAATAAAAACTAAAAAGTTCTAAATTTGACTGCAAGTTTCAAATAATACATATTAGGTAAAATTATTTTCTTGCGACATCTTAAATTAATCATTTCACATTTACCATAAGATGATAAAGGTATAAAACGAGGGAAGAATCACTTCATTCTAATTAATACACGTTTCTTTGACGATCAAAAGATAGAACGGAATACGGAACATGCTATAACCCAGAAATAAAGAGCTAATACAATATACATAAAATTGTCCACTGGTACAGTAAGAATTTCCATAGAACCTGAAACACCGCTCCTTTGTTCCAGGTCTCAAGGCGGAATTGTTTTACGTGCGAGAGGGCGTCATAAACGAGTACGCAATTAAATTTGTCGTCCCAGTGCCGGCGCAGGTTCACAAGCTGCATTTCACTTGGGAAAATCTCGCCGGCAGACCGGTAAGTCACACAAAGATCTCTCCGTTGCTTTTCGCAGAGAGGAGAGAGAGCTTTCCTCCGATGCGAATCCCCCCGGAGCGGCTGAAAGGGGAGTTCGGGAACCGGAGTAGTGACTTTGAGACGCGCAAGAAAACATGGAACGGTAATGGAAAGGGGTACCGTCGTCGCCCCTTGAAATGTCGCGACAGCATCCTCCGCGTACTTTATTCCTCATTTACGTTTCTTTGATTCCCCACCGTTGCCGGATCAAAGTCGCCTAGACTCGGAGGTAAAGTGAATTCGCTCGTTAACGTAGGTATCCGCGTCTTCGCGCGATCTTACTGTCGGGGGATGAGACACAAGCGGTGGGTAAGAAAACCGTTCAGACGTGTTTAAACATCGGAGGCAAGAGTCTGAGTAGAGTTCAGGCCTAGTTCGATGACGTTTGAATTGAAAAATAACATTTTCTAAAGTAATTTATAAAGACAGGAGCAAATGCAGGAATTTAGTTTTTCCCTTAAGTGTCTTATTGGGTTGAAAATAAAATAGAAAACTCGTTGGATCCCATGAAAGCTTTGTTTTTTCTTGTATTTCGCAAAGCCCTATAGGCTATAAATGCATAAAATCCGCAGTCTATCGATGACGTAGCAAACTTCAGGCAGTCTGATGACGTTGCTTATTCCAAACTCTCAAGGTGCGTGTCCACTTGCTGTGTATCCTCGTACCGTATCACCGTTCTGTATCAATATGGACGGGCAAGTGTTGCATCGTTGTGTGTGAAAATGTATCATATGGTGATACGATACGAGGATACGCAACAAATGAATATGCACCTTTCCATAGCTGTGCTATGAAGTTGCTAAAGAGCGATGATCGGAGGCTTCATAGTCAGTTATTTATCTATACCTCGATTCACTTGGTCCACGTTTGTGCCTCGTACAGCTCGAAGTTTCGAACGTTTCATCGCTGTTGGATAATCTCAAAGCACAGCGGCTCGAGAGTACGGAGTCTGTAACGTCATCAAACTATTTGGAGTTTGCAACGGTATCAGACTGTTTGGAGTTTGCAACGGCAGCAGACTGCTTGAAGTTTGCAACAGCATCAGACTATTCGGAGTTTGCTACGGCATGGTATCAGACTGTTTGGAGTTTGCAATGGTATCAGACTGTGTAGAGTTTGAGATGTCATCAGACTGCCGTCGTCAGAGGTGGTTGGAGATCAAAACGTCATCAGACTGTTTGGAAGCTGTCTCCTCTATCAAACGTATCAACCAAACATTTTTTAAGCAGTCTGTTCACGGATCCACTACTATAAGAGACACCATCTTTCCTGGATGAATCTTCGACCAGCACACTTTAGACTCGGACCCTGATCCTTATTCCCAGGTTCTTTCGCGACCTTCCGAGAGGTACTTACCCGGATTATTGAGGCATGTCGGTCCTTCCCATTTCTCCAGATTCTCGGCACGAACCAGCGGCGTAGAACTCATTCCTCGATATTCAACGCTGAACTGGGATGAATACCTTTTCTTCGACGACGATTTAACCTCCGACGAGATTGTGTTACATTTTTGCTAGTTCGAGCTGGTCTCGAGAGATTCTTTAATAACCAGTTGAGCCCCTTTTATGATTTGTTAGTCGTAGGTCCGGGTTAATATTCCGCTGACGAGTAGGATATTTAAAACGAATAGCAAGCGTTTTTTTTATGAGGGGGAAGTAATGTATAGAGGTCAATAGAATGAGATACTGTACTTTTGCCTGGGACATTAAACTTTTTTATCGAAAGGTCTTTAGGGTTAAGTACGAATATATTTTATGATTAGATTGCGGATGTTTATGCATTTGTATCATTGCTTAACTCGATAAATGCAATAAAATAAACGTTTTAATCAAGTTTAATACAAACTATGTGTTGTTAATAACGTAGTAAAGCCTCCAGTACAGAATTCAAAATTCTGCTATATTTTAAGTTTTAGATATTGCTATCAGAAATTCTAAATTTGCATAAAGTTCCAAACTCTATTTATAATACCTCGTCTGAAAAGGAAGAATTTAAATTGTTCATTATTTGGGCATTGAAATTTCTTCAAAGCACACCTTTAATAAATTATATGTTCAGTGGCGCATAATTACATAATAGTGTACAGATTTACTAGCCTGGAAGTATTTGTGCGTTTTCGACAACTGCAAATATATAAAACACAGTTAACTGTCAATAAAATTAATTAAAATTTGTATTTTATTTTTAATTTAACCCTGAGACTGCGAACCACTCGGAAGCAGGCAATTCGATATATACGATATTAGGACGATCTTTGTTTGTAGTTTAATAATCACACCATTTTTGGATAAATTGTATAAAATGTAACGGCAGATTCAAAAATGGTCATTTCCGAATTTCCTGTTACCACGAATGAAAAACGCCTGAAAGTGTAGTTCGCAGTCAAAAGGTTAACAAGTTCCTTAATTTCTTAAATTCTTGAAAACATCCAGAGTCTAATCATTATACTATCAACTTCATATTTGCGCCTTAATTTGTACTGTTAAATTCCTTAAATGCTATCTACATTTGATCTCCAAAATAAAGGGTGTCCCAACAAGAGCGGAAAATTTAAATTCCAAATAAAATACAGTTTTTTTATTTAATACCGAAATTTTGATTTCATCATAAAGTAGACATGTGGGAATTCTGTATGGAACAACATAGAAAGTCTGGTAAATGCCCTCATCGGTTTTGCTGGTACATTTGCGTTCTTTTGACGAAATTTTCAATCACAGTTTGGCATAATTGTGGCTGGTTCTCAGTGATACAGCGTCTAATCTCCTCCTTCAAGGCTTGGGTGGTCGTGGGGTTATTGACATAAACCTTTGACTTCAAAAAACCTCAGAGAATGAAGTCTAAAGGCGTTAAATCGCACGATCTAGGCGGCCAATTCTGGTCGCCCAAACGGGAGATTACACGACCAGGGAATGTCTCGTGCAATAATGCCATTGTTTCACGTGATGTGTGGCAAGTGGCATCGTCCTGTTGGAACCACATGTCCGTGAGATCCATACCATCCATTTGAGGAACAAAAAACTGGGTTATCATGCCTCGATACCGCTCACCATTGACTGTTTGTGCATTCCCGGCATTCTGGCGAACAGCCGTGATGTTTTCTGTTGAACGATCTGGACGAACACGTGTCGATGGTTTGACATCAATAATCGATCCAGTCTTCTCTTCTCTTCACAGTTGATGCATTTGGAACATTTTGTCTACCAAAAATTGGACGCAATTTGCGAATCGTTGCAGTCAAACTTTCACCATTTTTGAAATAATATTTAACAATAAGAATGCGTTGTTGTGTCGAATAGCGATCCATTTTTAATAATGGCGGACTGTCTACCATGGAACTGTCATAATGGTTTGACTGTCAAAGCACAGCAGGAGAAATGGCGCCAAATTTAAATTTGCCGCTCTTGTTGGGACACCCTTTATAAACCATTCTACACTGTCTAATCACTCCAAAAAGTATTCAGTAGCATTAAATTTAGTAATAATGGTCAGCCTGTCACTGAAACTGTTCAGTTGACATTCCACCGGCATATTCAATATAAAAATAACACGTGCAACAAAATATCATACAGTCAATCGTATAATGTAAATAACAACTATAAAACGTGTGAACGTTGTTCCATTTCGAAGTCTTGGCCGTTTCACATGAAAATGTCTACTCCTACAAAGACACCTCGTGTCAACGAGCACGATAATAATGGTCGAAGAGGAGCAGTGAACAATGAGTCATCAGTTTGCGCCGAGAAAACAATTTTTGCGAGCGAGCGAGCGCGCGCGCGCGCGACCTCGTTGACGATGGAAGGTACGCGCTGACAAAGTGGCGGCGAAAAGTGGGCAGAATGCGGCACGGTGTCGGATTGACTCGTCGACGATGCGCAGAAAAAAAAGAGAGAAGAGGAACGGATCCGAGAGTAGGACAAAGTGGTCCAGCCACTTCTTCGAGAGCTGTCTCATCGGAAGGAAGAGAGGAGGAGAGGGAGACAGAAAGTTGGAGACTGATGACCAGCGTCGAGACATCCGTCACCTCCGCGACAAAACCGAGTGTCCCGGACGCTACTTAGGCGCACCGGTTACCTGCCAATCAAACCGACGACTTTTGAGCTATGCGAACCGTTTCCCGGGGACAAATTCGTTGCATATTTTTTTTATCTACAGGCACACGCGCAGTTCCTTTTTCGTTGTATATGGTACATAGTGTCCCGCGAAGTGTAGTACTATCGAGCAACTTTATATAACAAAAATTAATCGAAGATGAAGAATATTATTTTTTTTTACGTGAGGCTTTTTTTCGAGAAAATCGATTTTGAAAATGTACCAAGTACGCGTGCATTTAAGGAATCATTTTGGTTTGCGCGCAAAAGTTAAGCATGTTTCGGGAATTTATTGCGAAGAAAAGAAATATACATAATACGTAATGGTAAAAACGTTCTATTTATTAAACTAGATTTTTACAGTATATAAAAAGTATAAAAGTAATAGTCCTGAGTTATCACTTATGTTTATGCCCCAGTCATTTAAGTTTAAATTGTGTTACAAAAAAATAAAATAACTGTGATTCAAACTTTTTCCTATATTAAAATATACTTTCATGAAAAACAAGGCCGGTACGAGAAACTCACTTTTTTTTTATCTTCTGTAGTTATCCATTAATTTTTCAAATTCTTCTTATGAGTATTGTATAGAAATACCGTCTGTATAAGTTTTAACGTAGTTAGATAACCAAGTTTTCTTGTAAACATAATGGTAAAGCATAGAGTAACGGCGGACCTCTGCAGTTTTGGAATCAATGGCTTCAATTGGGTCAAGTTATACAGAAAGCTACTAACTCTCGATGATCTGAAATGAAGTAAATTAAGTTTGAAGATTTTCCTTGAAAACAGTAGCTTTATTTCGATTGGGTATATTTTATTTCTTGTTGTTGTTTCACAATGTTTTTAAATGGCTCAGTTAATAGTTAGTAGTATAATCAATATTTTATTTAATTTTCTACAATTAATTGTAATTTTATTCCTAATTCTTCTATGACTTGGTAGTTTTAATACTTATATATAATTTAAGATATGTTCTATGGGTTGGTAATTTTTTGCAAAATAAAGATCCCAAAATTACAGGATCCGTAACGTGTTTAACTAATTTCTGGTCATTTCGAGGGCTGAAAGGATTCTGCATAACATGGCACAATTGTGCTAAAGTAGACAGAATAACAGTCTGATAAACTTTGTGTTAAAATTTCGATCGTTTTCGTTTGCTGGTCTTATCCAACACAGTTTACCTTAAACAACAAAGCTGTTTTGCCGTTAATATTTTGCCTGAATAGCACGATAAAGGTCCTTTCCACACACCATCATAACTACATCCATAAACTATCGCACGCCTCCGTCCTCTGACGTGTTCTTCACGAAATCCTCGAGCGTTACCGACGGATCGGAAAAGAAAAGCGTAGAATCGCTTGACAGTTTAAATCGAACGGTTAGCCGGTTTACAGAGGCATTCGCTGTCAGCACGTAGTTGGCTGCTCGCGGTCATAAAAGACCGCAACGCGCGGAGAAGCGGCACACCGTGGAGAGTAGCGTGGTAGCGACAAGCAGCCGGCAGGTTGACGAGGTGCCTTCTCCGCGGCTAGTTGGGGAACCGATCATCATTGCAAGCTGGTAATCAGCTACATGGCTTCTCTCCCGCTTTAGCTCCTCTTTCTCTCGTCTAGCCTTTCGTTCCTCTTCCACTCGAAACCCTCTCCTCCCCTCTTCCTCGACTCTTTATCTCCACACCTTCTTCTTCTTCTCCTCTGTTTCTGTTCCTTTTCTCCGCTTCCTCCTGCTCGGCCCTCCTTTCTTCGAGAGCTACCCTCGCCCGCGGGTCCTCTAGATTCACTTTGCCCTCCGTTGGGCGCAAATTGTCTTCCAAGAATGGTACGTTTCAGATTATAGGAAGGTTCAACGTTCGCGTGATTACGAGCGAGAGCAGTAGCAAAACTCGTCCCTTACGTCCTTCGAGACTTTGTTCCATTTGCTTTTCTCGTCCTTTCCCGTGCTATTCCCCAGGTTCCGATTGTTGTTCCTGTGTCCACCGGTTCTCGGTTCCACTTTTGTTCCGTTCATAGTCCCCGTTTCTATGTAGATTGACCGTATTTCTGGTGATTTGCATCTTCGGGACCCTTTTCTAGGGGCCGCGGGGATAATATTTATTTCACTCGGTGCAGACACCATACGGATGCGCCCACGGCTCTGCTTCGGTTTCCTCAGCTGGAACTTGTGATATTCAAATTTTAACGCGACTGCTGGCTAATGATGTCACTTGCAGTATTTGGAGTTCTTTATGTGAATGTTGCAGCAATGATAATTTGAATATGCGTGCTTTTGGTTACGTGATTGAATGTTGTTCTTATATTCTGTTCTAAATCATTTCTTCGTATTTGTTTCGTGGTTTTATGTAAAACTGTAACTGAAAATATGTATAATATGTATATGTGCTCCTACGTTAGAATTATATCATTATTAGACTGCGAACGCTTACACTTGTTTGAACTTTCTTAATTAATTTGTCAAATATGAAAGTCAGTAGAAAGCCGATTCTTCCATTAAGTGTTTTATTACTTATCCTTATGCTTTCATAAAAAAATGTTTTAAAGATACATGTAAGTCTCTGCTAAAAAATACTATTTAACGATGGCAACATGCAACGGAAAGATGGTAGCTAAAAGTGTCTTTGAAGAGTCATCTTCAAATTCATTATAATAATTATAAATAAATATAACATGAATGTAACATTCGTTTTTTCACGAAGAACGCAAATATAGTCTATTTACTCTTACTTCGACTAACAAAGAAACGATCATTCCATGTATAACAACCCAATGAAACTTATTGATCTAAAATCGTATTTACGGAAATATTTATATTACATTTTCAGTTGCCATATTCAATGTCAGTAGACATCAGCAACCCAACTGCGTTGAGCAGTTCCCTGAACATATCCCAGGCTGGCGAAATCCCAGTGGGTGGTCTTCAGACTTGGGCTTTGGCGTTGCATTGTGGCCCGTACGACGCGGAAGTCGACCTAAGCCTTCGAATAAATGTCTCTCTGTCGAGACGGAACACGACCAGCTTGGACTTCAGACGGAAGAAAATCTGTTTGAAAGATAAAAGTAACGTAGGAGCAGAAGAAGTACTCGTCGCTGCTTCTGGATCCACTTCCGGCGGACAAGTGTTCTACGCTGCTGTTGGTTGTGCTTGTGCCTTCATCGCCGCCATTTTGGTTCTGGTTATTGCCTACTACGTACGCGATAAAAAGACCAGAAGACATCGTGACCCTCTACAGTAAGTCACCTTATCTTAACTGACTTGCGCTGTTATCATTGTTGTATTAATAATGGAAGTATGCTTACCAATGTAGGTATTTATTGAAAGATAATAGAAAAGACTAATAATTCCTCTTTCTTTATGTCTTTATGAACATTTCATATACAAAATTAATTTCTTTTTTTCTCGATGATATAGAAGCTTGTTATTTCGAAGTTATCTTTCCCTTTAAAAGTGGGACATCTTAAAACAATGCAATAACATACTTTCTTTTACGTAAGGTTGAATTTGCAAGTTCATGATCGTTTACAAATTTGGAGTATACTTCTGTATTCGAAACACTTCCCCTTTAAATAATATTTATGATATGATTACAACTTTTAACTTGATCTATAGGTAAAGGAATTTCTTCTTATATGTTATATTTTTAATGAAACAGAAATGTGTATGCAGGGAACTTTTATGTACCAAGAACGAATAGTTGTCCAAACTTTCGACCATAATTTTAATTCTTCACTCTGCAAAGAATATTTATAGCTTAAAATTTTGAAGGAGGGTTATTTTATCAAATGCAATAAATCGAGTATCAGATGACTAACAATGCAAAAAGAAAGTTGCAGTTACAGTTAAAAATATTCCACCTGTTTTTGTAGAGAATCGAGAGGTCTAAGTTCCGCGTGCAGCGTGGAGCGGAGTACAGGAGTCGGACCAGCACAGACATTTTTGTCTTCCGAAACACCGCCACCGGCTTCCGCAACATCGACTTCCACTTACCGAAGATTAGACGATCGGCCGAGTCGGGAACTGCACGAGAGAATTCAAGAAATCACAGTTCAGAGGTAATTGAAATTTCATAACAGGCAACTGCTTTCCTTTCGATGGTCGTTTAACCCTTTCACTCTCAAAATATTTAACAATCACAAAAAAATAATATCTTGTATTTTACATAATATGTGTATAAATGATTCATAAGAACATTTTAACATTTTGAAAGCGTTTAATGCCATTTGGCAACTTTCTTATTTTTATTACAGTCACGTATAATAACTTACATTATAAAGTTATTATACATAATACAAACCTATTTTTCTTACTTTTGATCATAAAAAGTTGGGACTTTATAAATTTCTATTGTATTTCTAACAATGCTGAACACTTGAGTTCCAACAAATGGACAAAACAATGGACAAGTGTATCACATTTTATCCACAACCTTTTAAATGCATATTAAAATTTGTGTTATGCTATCTATACAAGGCTAAAAGAAACCATGACACATATACTCACAGATATGAAAAAACATGTGATAAAAATAAAATTTTATTTCGTAATAAAGAATAGGTAACCATATAGCTACAATGGGAACGAAAGACTAATCGAGTACCTGCTACAATTTCATTTGCAACTTTATTTAATGAATGTGCTAAACCTTCAGTTCCCACTTAATTGGCGAACGATGATTAATTAAATAACAATGGACGTAATTACTACGAAATATGATAGATTCGAACGCAGCTAATAGCTTTAGTGAGTACTTTTAATCACAGTGGCCTTAATTGGCTAGAAAATCCATAGGTCTCCAAGTATCTCGAGTCGTACGATTCCAAGCATCTTTCTTCCGAAGCTCTAAGAGGGTTCTATGAAAGCGTGATTCATGTTTTTAGGTTAAGTAGATCGCTCTAAGAACCGAATAAAAAAAGAATCTCGGCATCCCGCGGACTTAAGTGCACAGAAGGCGCTGATTAAACTGTTCGGCTATCGATCGACCCCAAAGAATTTCAAACGGTGGCAGCTCGGTTTCAAAGAGAAAGCTTTTTAAACCGGGTCGTAATTTACTTCGACGGTTTATGCTTTCTGTGCAAAAAAATAAGTTCCCTATGAACTGTACGCCAACTTGCAACGAATAAAAAAGTTCGCATCAAAGGGACGCACTGATAATTACATATCTAACAAAACTATATGCTTGTTCTTATTTTTAACGGCAGTGTTAAGAAAGTGACAGAAAAAAAAAGAAAAACACGAAGAATCTTAAATTATAAATAACTTTGCATTTTGTTATTCTGTATGCATTTTGACAAATGTATCCATCACTGTGTGCAAAGAGTGTAATTTGGTTGCATTGATGAATAGAATATACGTCTGAGTAATGACAAATACTTAATTGTTTTAGAAATAAACAGCATTTATGTGTAAATATTTTATATTATTTTATGCATATATAAGTAAATAATATTATAATAGGAATCTCTTCAAGAGTGTTGCGATAACTAAAAAATTAAAACACTCTGAACCCAATATGTGAATGGGTGTATATGTAGAAGAAGGTTGTATGTTGCAAATTTTTCGAAAGGGATTTTCTATAGATCAAGGGCCAGTGTAATGTAGGAAGACGTTTTGGCAAAGGTTTTAGTACTCGACAATGGTACTAGAGGTCAAGAGCTACCCATAAAAAGAGAATGAACAGTGATGCTGCAATGAGCAATGGAGTGTTTTAACGTTTTTCTGTAAATTTTATGAAACCTAACATACGCCCTTCTTCTGCACACCTATTTGTTTGTATTCTGAGTTTGAAAAAAATTTATTAAATCTTAAAAATTGCATTTATACAAATGGAAAGATTCGTCAATATTTAGTATTAATAAAAATCTCTACATATACGTGATAGATTTTCTATCACATTTTTGCATTATAAATATTATAGAAAGCCAATAACAAATTTTACTATTATTCTGAAACGCTGAACATTGATTTGCGATTTTGATGAATGCAGTAAAGAACAAAAATTCGATCGTGTTTAATAAAATTTTCATTTTATTTCTATCCCACTAAAATCCTGAGAGAAGAAAGAAGTTTCTGTTTTTACTCCTGTCTTTCTTTTTAAAATCCCCAAGTCTACTGAACACAGTGTCTCTTAACAGTTCCAATGTATACGAAATTTCAGTAACGTACGCAGTTCTTGAAAAATTAAATTTAAACGTATAATTTTAAAGAGACCAACTCGGATCAGTAGATTTTCGACTCGTATTGGAAGACCCCTGAAACTTAAAACATTCACGTTCACCTGTTTCGCCGTTTAAGTCGGGTTCGTCTATCGGGCTCGGCTGCAATTCCGGTAATTAGACCATCAATTCGGGTTTTCGGGTAATTTGGGATGGGGAGGATTTCAAAGTTTGTATAGAATAATTGTCGGTCTCTCATCGATGCTGGAAGTCACGAATCTTGAGCGCCAATCTTGTTTCGCACTTGTTACAGATGCAGGGTACGCCTCCTCAGCATCGAGATGGAGGGTACATTCGGTCGCGTGTACAGAGGCAGTTACCACGAGGAGGGCGCGTCTTCCCCGAGGGATGTCCTAGTGAAAACTGCTGCTGAACATGCATCGCAATCGCAAGTGAGTTATTTTTTTTTCTTCCCCTTCCCAATTAAGCTTCGTTCGAAAGGTGGCCAATTAATCTGCTACGAGTTTTTCTTCGAATTGTATTGCAATTAATTCCTCGTAAACACTATGGTTCTAATTATAGACATTTTCTACTTCCTATATACGCGGACCGAGAACAGTAATTGGAATCATAATGTAATCTGCAGACGTTTTTCAATTGTGTTGTGAAATATGGTAGACGACAATTTTGTGACCTTAATGGTCTTATTCTATTTAGAGTGAATTGTGTGCATTTGGGAGAGCAAAAACATGTCTAATTATTGTTTGTTATTGAAAATAATTTTTTATCTCGAAATCTACATAATGTGTCAAGTGACCAACCTAACCACCTAATTAAATAGATAATATAGTAACGATATTACCTATTTAATAGAACTATATTACTTAATATTTCTGCGAGCACCTGGATTTACAAGCGTATGTGTCAATAATTTCGCGATTAATTAAAAAATTTTCTATGATTACACATACAGCTAATTTCGTTACTATTGAAGCAGACATAGCAATAGTTTTTAAAAATAGGATGAGTCCAATTTTAAAGAAAATGAATTAAAACTAGATTCAGCTACAAATGGATATCTTCTTTTTATATTCATAATAACAAGGTAAATACACTACAATATTCTCAAGTATAAGTCCATTTGTGTGAATGACTCCATTTATTTAACATTCTCTACGAAGAAAAATGAATAAAATATGAGTAAAAGTTTTTAATTTCTTTCAGATTGCTCTAATAATAAACTGTTTATAATAAAATTTTTTAACACGTAGGTTGTAGGTGTATCAAATGAATATATTTTTACATTATTCAATAATATACCTTTATTGTCTTTATTATAATTATTCTTATTTATATTTTAGAGTTACATTTCGGAAAGGTCTACTTCAATTGAAATATAAGTTTAAATTGAGTATTAGTCACGTTTTCGATAGTTTATTATTTTTGAGAGTGGTATCAGTACATTTTTAATGAAAACACTGTACACAAATTGTCACAGAATAAAATTAAACATGCCTGGAGTCTTAAAAGCATAAACAAGCTTAATACATATCCTTAAACAATATTTTTGAATAAGGTAAAATGCAAAACATTAATCATTTCGAGATAAGGAAAAGTGATCTTAATATGTACCACTTAAAAAAAAATGGCTCATATGTTAAAAAATATAACAAATTTTCATGCTAGCGGGATACAATAAATGCAACAGTAAAAGTGTATCTTCTGACTACATAGGAACACAATTTATAAGATTGGGGAAAGGACTGGGACTTGGATAATTACTACGGGAAAACTGAATGTTCCACTATGCGAAAGGTTACGATCCAAATGACCACGTCAGCCTATATAATTTGGCTAGTGAACGTGTTTTTTAATATTTTTAATACATTGCCGACCGGTGTCGAGAAAATCCCGTTTTCATAAGAAATGCGTTGGCGAGTGGAAACTAGAAATCTTGCTTTCAGGCGCGTGTATTATTTATTTATTATTTCCTAGATCACTATATTTTTTTTTACATTCGAATATCATTGGCTTCGTTACAGTGGACACAAGGACAACGTCGCATGTCACAATTTTAAAAAATTTGAGTTTATGCATTAATTGAGCTGTAGAATATAGAATTCTATGTATTTATTAGAAAGAGTCATGAAAACAAATGATGTTAAAAAAAAAATGAAATTTAACGGAAGTTTAATATTCAATTACACGCATTAGGAAAAACAACGTGAGTCTACAACATTCTGACAATACCACGATTATCTACTCGTATTTTTGTTTTGTGATCGCTTTTTATTTTCTATTTCTATTAATATTCTTATACTATAACTTATTTTGTATAAAATGAAACGAACAAAATTATATTTTATATTTTTATTTCACTAGACATAGCACATTATTACATACGAGTGATACATACATATGTAACGTGTATTTTATATAAAACAACGCAATGCAACATTGCTAATAAGTAGAATTAGCGTGAAAATATCTCGAATGTGAAAATATGTGATATGCGGCGCTTTTTTTGACAATCACAGAAAAAACTGTAGTAAATTTTTATAATACTTTATCGGTCGCCAATCTGTTTAAAGACGTGGTCTCGCCATTTTCTCACGATACTCTTCTGTTTCACATCCTAAGGTCGCCCTTCTTCTGCGCGAAGGTTTAGCTCTCTACGGTTTGAGTCACGCAGCTTTGCTCCCCGTTTTGGGTGTCTCGATCGAGGACAGAAGCGCGCCGTTCCTTTTGTATCCGCACACCGGCTACAAGAACATGAAGAGGTTCTTGCTGAGGTGCAAGTTGAGCAGCGAGGGGCCACCGAGGGCTCTCACCACGCAAGAAGTCGTGGAAATGGCCCTTCAGGCCGCCAAAGGAGTCCAGTATCTTCACAGAAAGAGGCTGGTGCACAGAGACCTGGCCGCTAGAAATTGTGTGTAAGTAAAACAAAAAAAAAAAAGGGAAAAGTGGTGGATTATTATAATACAGCCGTGGCCCTTACATAAACATTTTTCCTTCATAAGTTTGTACAACTACATACTCGAATAAACGAATTGTGTTCCCCTTTTCTCCGATTATGTAGTATGAAAATTTCGTCTGTACCAAAGCCTTTATTAAAACTCTCATTCACGAACAAAAATTATCCTCTCTTGACACGTGTGTTATATATCGAATAATTCCCTGTCGATGCGCCGTAAACCTTAGGTCGTTACGTTTCGTTACGAAATTAATTGGCCGTGCGGCATTAATTAGCAATAAATACACTGGTGCCTGAGACTGTTTAATTACCGGTTGCTACTGTTTCGTCTCGCGGCGATGACTTTTAATGCGGCTCCCGAGGGCAGCTTCTTTTTATGCGACTATCTTTCTTAATTTTTTTTTCTTTCTTTTTCCTTCTTTTACCCACGCGAACCAGTCGACAAATTTACCCCTGGCTAAGCTCGATTACCCGCGGCACTCGTCTTCAACATGTCTATCGGAAGTCTTGGCAGTCGACCTGGAGAGGAAGACGTTTAATGATCGAACGTTACGATTTTTATTAGGGTCGACGACGATCTGAGGGTTCAAATTACGGACAATGCACTAGCCAGGGATCTGTTCCCGCAGGATTATCATTGTCTCGGGGACAACGAGAATCGGCCGATCAAATGGCTTGCCATAGAGAGCCTGCTGAATAAGACGTTCAGCACTGCCTCCGATGTGGTGAGTGGAAACATTATTCACGTACGATTAACTTGGTAAATCTTCTATGAAATTTCGTGTGCTTCTTTAATAAACCTTTAGAAGCACACGGTTCTTTTTAACGTTCATGTAATGTGTCTACGGATTATTACACATGGGTCAGTTCGGATTAGTGCTTGGACAAGATATTACCAAATATCTTAGTTATATTTATACTTCTGTAAAGCATTGGTAATTTAGTGACATGTTGTTAATAAATGTAACATTAATTATTTGAGCATAGTTTACCTGCATTGGTCGGTGAAACTCTTGTATTGAATTTAAATAATTTCGTCTGTCAATTGATATATTTATACCAATGAAGTTTTGCATTTTTTTTGCATATTCGAAACAGGTTTCGAACGGAGGTTATACACACAGAATCTTGATCTAAATGATCTAACCTGTCCAAAAACTACAAATATTAGTGTAATTCCATTTCATTTATACTATGGAAAAAAGATTGAAAGATTTCAAGCGCAAATCTCACAACCTCATGAAATACAAATAATAAAAATGTCAGTATCAATTTTGCAATTACCATTTACAGAATTTTAAGTAGTATTTTCTTAACAATACATTACTTCCAAGACTTTTAATAGCTACTTATGTATGTATTATTATGTATTGCTTATATATTTATAGCATTTACAAATGTGTAGTATCCAATAAATTAAAAAACTTGTATTAACCCATAAACCATTAAAAGCCAAGCAGTGAAATACATGCAATACGATTTTTACACACAAAATCTTCTATTCTTTATAGAATTTACCTAGGTAGAAGAAGAAATAGTGACGAAAAAATTATTCAGCAAATCCCCCGAATTCGTTTTAATAATTGCAATGTTAAAAAGCAGAACCAAATAACGTAAATTTACTAAAAATAATACAAATAAATCGTTGCATCAACGCAACATTGGTCTTTAATGGGTTAACCGCACTTGCGAAAATCTTGTGCGCAAACGGCCACGTGACGCTGACAGGCTACTGTTTTAAGAAATGACGATACAATAGAGATTTGTACAAAATTCGTTTTTATACAGGAACAATTTCCAAGTACGTACCCTTAGTACTACGCAAACCCATGGAAGTTGTGTGTGGTTTCATTCCAGAAATATCTGGCAGTTTATACATTGCGTAGTCTCCCAGACGCCACATGTCCGGCCTTAACCCTTAGGTTAAAGTGTAAAGTCCATATTTAAAGTTTCATAGATTCTTGCAAATTTCTGTGCAATTATTTTTATTCCAGTAAATTAATTTATAACTCTATGTATTTGAATGAAAATTCGAACGTTTTATAGTCGTTTGGATGCCTAATCTAAGATCCAGAAAATCATAAAATTATAAGCATTAAAGACAATATCGTTTTGTTGATTTTTCAGTGGGCATTCGGAGTGTTATTATGGGAGCTGACTACGCTGGCGCAGCAACCATACGTGGAGGTAGACGCGTTCGAAATGGCCTCGTATCTCAGAGACGGTTACAGATTAGCGCAGCCAATCAATTGCCCGGACGAGCTGTTCGCGGTTATGGCCTATTGTTGGGCGATGTCCGCGGACGAGAGGCCAACGTTTAGCCAATTGATCGTCTGTCTTCAAGATTTCCACACCCAGTTGACCAGATACGTTTAACAGTTGAAATCATAGCCACATGGAAAAATGGAACTACAGGACATAGCGAGAACACGTGTACATATTAGTAGTACTTAAAGGTTAACTTTAAGATAGCGAGGAAAATCTAATAAATATCTGCGATCGTAGGAACGTAGCTTTGTATGTACGTATTTCGTGAGAAGAACGATTCTATAAACTAGTGCTGTCCAAACTTTTCTCGGCGTAACTAATCAAACCTCTTAGCGTAAAGCCATTAACTGTATAGAGCACGCGTTGGGCCTAAAAGGCCTATGCTATTATGTTTTATGTTATAAAATCTACATGTCCTTTAGCTACACGTTTTATTCATAGTGTACGTTCCTATCTTTGTAGCTAGTATAGATCCTAATATTCGTTGGAATTGTTAGTTGATCAGTGTTTGTGTAGAGGGCAGTGTATAGTAATGTATGATGTATGTTTAGCACTAATATGATTTTTTATCACTGTGGGGTTAATAGACACCTGAATCGAACGCAAGAATTTTTATTTTTTTCTATTTCTTTTATCACACAATCCCATTAATGTAAAGTTCTGAAGCTTGGGTTGGACAGCACTGGTTTCAACGAAGCTAGAAATGTTGCCGTAAAGATGTATCTTCTAAGGATTTTTTGAAACGAGACACTCCGTGACTTGTGTAGTTCATTTTCAGGATATATCGACACACTTTGTTTTCTGCTTAGCATTGTAGATACGGAAAATATTTAAATACGTCCGAAATACTGATGTATCGTTTCAAAGGACCCGTAAATTTGCAATAAACAAGTTTTGTCTTTAGGGCATGGAGAGTAGATGAAAATGTATAATCGCGTGTAATTTTTATAGTAGGCGACGGTAAAGAGTAATTGTAGAAACTAACATGTATTGATCATTCATATCTCGTTTCCTCTTTAAATATTAAGACTGAATCAAATGTTCACTTAGCGACATGTGTTCAATTGACATAGTACAGTAGAACTCCGTATGACCTTACACGAGACTGAATTCACTGAGCTAACGTTCAGCTCTTTTGTCGGAAAGACGAATGAAAATATGTCGTACGAGGTTACGTTATCAAGAAAATAAATTTTGAAAGAAAGTGTGTTCTCAGACGATTTTGGAGAAAAATTTGTGGAACCGAAGATAGAAATTTGTATAACTTTCGGTAACTAGACTTGGAGATTAACAATAATTATTATAAATATCGTTTATATTGTTTCCGTGAATCAATTTAAAAAAATTTCTGTTCGCGTTGTTGCAAATATCTGCTAAAGTGGTTCCTGCCGCTTTCAACTGTAAGCGGTAAGAATAATTGATCTACTTTCTACATATAATTATGTCAATCTATTCCTTAAGTAATGCTTGGAAAATGTTCAAAATTCATTTTACTTCAAAACGAAACCTCGGTAAGTTAAAAACGAATCTCTAAAAGACGAGCTTAATCGTTGGATGAGTTCTGGGATGAACAAGACCAGTTGCGTGCGATTTAATCGAGATCTTTCAGATCGGTTTTGATTGATTATAATTGTATATTCTTTTAATTTACAAAATTTCATAGCAAAATTCACAGAAAAAACTTCTACTTGCATTAAGTAGGCCCTCTATTTGCCAGAGTGATTAACTCCACAAAAATATTACAATATAAAAAGGACCAATTAGGAGCTTTGGCGTTAGAATTTGAAAAAATTCAAAAAGGGGAGTTTGTCACTTTGTCCAGTGAACGGCTCAAATATTACAATCTACGTTGAATTCGGAAAGACAGAAGAAAGCCCGGGCAAAAGTTTTCAATTTACAACAAACATTCGAATTTCTCGCCCTTTAATACGTTGTTTGAATTTATTTTTGTTTCCTATATGAATACGAATGTCTTATATGTCTTTGTCCAAGTGTTTTGTCCAGAACAAGCTCGAATTAAATGAAAATCTACCGTATCGTAGTATTGATTGCCAAATATTCCAGCAGAAACGCAAGATTGCCAAACATCATTCTCATGAACTGCCAATTTTCGTACTCAGGAAGCTGTGTTGTAACCGGGCCGAAATATGTCTGGCCATTTCGACCGACGTGATACCGCGTATCGCTTGCCACGTGAATGTTTCGAGTATGCCAATGTCCCAATTTTTGTATTTTTGTACATATTTATCGATAGTTATGCCCATAAACGTTAGTTGTAACGAATAAGTGCTGCAGTATGCCGAGTCAGATAGATCCTTGTACATAATGAAAGAGACGTCGACGCGAGAAAAAACGATATGATGTACAAACCGCGGCCGTTACGGGCACAATAAACCGATTGATACACGATGCTTCGTTGTTCCTTATTTTCACGCACCGGTAACACTCGTTTGGAGCCTCTCCACCAACGGCTTGAAACAGTTCCGAAAGTAACTGTTTCAAACTGTTGTATAAAGGTTCTGATTGAAACAGTTATGCAGAACCTTTATTCTGAATAAAGGTTATGAAGAATTTAATGTTCAGACTATAGTAAATCATCGATGAGCGTTCGAAGGCTCCTCGACACTGACAAGGAGAAGTAAGTACCCAGGTGTAACGCTGACTATTTAATGAGGTTCAGCACAATGATAGAGCTTGAAATTCTGAAACCAATGGTATTATTTCAGCCGCATACGAACATTACTTTATGAGATATTTAATATTCAGTGCTAAGGAGCCTTCGAACACTCATCGATGATTCACTGTATATCAGTCTCAGTTATGATTCTTATACAGCTTCCATGTCAGTATTATAACTGTTATTTTTTAGGTTTTATGACAGTTCCAAAACGGTTACAGAATTTTACAGTAAATGACATCACAGCATATTATGCTTATACATATATTACTGTATACGTATATATTTACTTACATATTCATAATGATTTAATACAAATTGTGCTTAGTAATCTATAACTGTAATATGTTATGATTTCAGTTGCTGTAAAATTCTGTACAATCTCTACGAGAATCGGTTCTTCGTAACAGTTATTCGGAGTAAAGAATCTTTACAACTGTTTCAAGAACCGAAATCGATTTCACAACAGTCTTCAAACCCTGCTTTCTCCACCCTTTTTCCATGAACGGCGCGATTCCCTTCGACCAGCTATTTCTGGCGATTCCTCCGCCGCCGTGTGGCTGCAGCAACAAGGGGGGCGGCGGAACCGGGAGAGTTTTTGTTTTCTCGGAAATCGTTCATCAAACCGTGAGATATCGTCTCGTAAACGACTCCTGTAATTCGTGTTGCATCCCCACGACGTCGACTGTCGGGGGTGATAAAATTAATGGCGGCGTCCTGACGTCTTGTTTGAAATGACGGATGGTCACGCGCCTAATTTTCCGGTGTCCCTTGCCGGTTCTGTTTCGCGTGTAATCGGATACACCGTCGACAAAAGAACACGGTCTTGGGAAAGGGTTTCTAGATTGTCTCCTTGACGAAGTCGAGGATATTTTATTTGAATACTGAAATAGCAAGTAGGGGCATGGGCGTAACTAGCTCATCAATCAGAGGGAGGATAAATTGATCTGATGATAAATTTCATAATATTACTTAAAATGAATTTTAGGTTTATTTTTACATACAAACCATTAGTTCATATAGTATAATATTTTCCTCTTCTGGGGGAAGGGGAAGGTGGCAAATATTTAATTTTTTCCTCTAGGATAGGACAAAGACCACTTTTCTCTCTCGGTGAGAGGGGGGGGGGGCGGTAAATGCCTTTCCGTAGACTCTTCCCCTTCCTCCTCGTCTACGTCCATGAGTAGCAATCTGAAATAGGATATAACTTCAATTCGGTTGTTTATTTAGAATTAACAGTGACAGTGTTACTTTAGAATTGAACAAGATCCCATCTATGTCTTATGAATTATGTTACGTGTGAAATCGTGATATTGGAAATTATTTGTTGAAGTAAAGTAAATTTTCGAAATGACTAGTCCTGATCTTTGACGTATTGTTCTGACGTATAATAAAAATGTTATATACGTGCACACTAAGGTTGTAAATTTACATTTGAGATTATGAAAGTATTATTGAGAAATAGTGTCTGAAACCAAATCAGATTTCATTAAACTGTTTTAAAGAATTAGAAGATTATGAACTGTATTTATGAACTTAATTAAGCTTTTGAAAGTAATTAGAAGTCGAGTTAACAAAATGTGAAATTCCATTATTGAAATTCGATAATAATCGTAACGATATTAGGAAATCAGGCAATGACATTAAAATTTACAAGCTTGAACTCGGACTATGTACAAGTTGTAAGTATCTTTTTCAACACTGTGTATATGGGATGAAAATAATCTTTCTTTATATTCATGCTGAAACATCAATTGTCATCAACTGAAAAAGATAACTTTATATTATTATACTAAATTATACACTACTCACTTTTTAGTAATGCTCCCAAAATCGTGTTTTCACATTATTACCAACGATTTTAAAACCAATGTAAGGGTTGAAATTTTAAAAACGTAATTTTATTACTACCATTTTTTATAATTTTCGTAAAAATTCAAAGCTTCCTCAAAAAACAGTGTGAAAATCTTTACAAATGCTCTTTTGTAACAAATACTACGTCAATAACGTTTTCTAGTAAAATTACATCAATGTTTGTAAACTATCTTCTTTCATGAGAAGTCGAACCCACACATATATGCAGAAGTTTGATGGTGGAAACAATTCATTGTGGGATATTCCTTGTGGAAATTTCTTGAATACAGGGAACCCCTCAGGTCATAAATTTTTCATGTGTTTGCATTGTCAGGAAGCAGCGGAGAGCCTCGTGTGCCCTTGTGATTTCTCAATAACGCGAATACGATTAGGCATGGTACATTAGCCACTCCGTTTTCTACGCTCCATCAGCAGTAAATGCGTCTGGAAGCGAGGCATGCCGGTAGTTCCCGGGATACCGGACGTTCTCCGCGTACAAAAGCACGAAAACAGTGTGTGTGTCTGCAAACAGTATGGATAGATAAGTAAGTACGTATAAAAAAACTATACTTTAATA